CACTTACTGATGAAGACTGAAGACTACAGTCTGCAATATGGATTACATCTCAATATAAAGAAAACAAAAATCCTCACAACTGGACCTATAAGCAGCACCATAATAAATGGAGAAAAGACTGAAATTGTCAAAGACTTCACATTGCTTGGTTCTACAATCGAAGCCAATGGAAGCAGCAGTCAGGACATCAGACAACATATAGCACTGGGCAAATTGGCTGCAAAGGACCTCTTTCAAGTGCTGACGAGCAAAGATGTCTCCTTGAGGACTAAGGTGGGCCTGACACAAGCCATGGTATTTTCAATCACCTCACATGCATGTGAGAGCGGGACAATGAATAAGGAAGACCGAAGAAGAATTGATGCTTTCGAGCTGCGGTACTGGCAAAGAATGCTGAAAGTACCACAGACAGCTAAAAGAAATAACAAGTCTGTCCTGGAGGGAGTGCAGCTGGGATGCTTCCTGGAAGTGAGGATGGCCAGACTTCATCATACCTACTTCGGTCATGTTGTCAAAAGGGACAATTTCCTGGAGAAGGATGTCATGCTTGGTAAGATGGAGGGTCAATGAAAGAGGCGAAGGCCGTCAACAAGATGGACTGACACAGTGGTTGCAGCAATGGCTCCAGTACAGCAAGGATCATGAAGCTGGCATAGGACTGAGCAGTGTTTTGTTCTGCTGTGCAGGGTGTCTATGAGTCGGAGATGACTCAGTGGCACCTAACAATCTCATGACTCCCTTGATTACTGTTCAAGTCCAACAAGTATTTGAGAGTCTACAGAGTTTAGGGTCCTTGGAAACTGTTCTAATTGTGATATTTTGGAGAGTTTTGTTCCATGCATTACATATTCTACATGTCTCTCCACATGCAGAATGGAGAACTAGATGATCTTGCAGTGACTCTGTCTTGAGATGTCCTCAGAATGGAGGGAAGAAACTTCAGGCACACATACAAGGTGGAAAACAATGAAGGAATTTTCTTGGTGTGCTCTTAAAACTTGAAGGATCCCAAACCCCAGAAATTTGGAAGAGATAAATCATGAATTCTCAAGAAATTGATCTGTCTTCCTTATTCACATACAGAACAAAAATGTAATATGGAAGCAATGGCCCATATATCTATAAAAAAAAAAAAAGAGAGAGAGAGAAAGAAATCAGGATGACCTGAAAGAAAATTAGGAAGGAGGTCTGTTATGGACTGAATTATATCCTCAAAAATGTGTTGAAATAATAACCCCTAAGAGCTCTGGTAGCATAGTGCCTAAAGGCATGTGACTGCTAACCAGAAGGCTGGCGGTTCAAACCCACCAGCCACTCCTTGGAAGTCAGATGGGGCAATCTACTTCTGTAGTGATACTGCCTCGGAAACGCAAGGATGGGTCGCTATGAGTCGGGTCTGACTCGATGGCAAGTAACAACAACAACAATATATCTGTATCTATGAGCATGTTTGGAATTAGAGATCTCCTGTAGTTCCATTAATGAGTCACACCTGAGTATGGGGTATCCAAAACCTAATCACATCTGAGTTATAAAATGGGCAGATTAGACAAAGAGGCATACACAAGGGAAAGAGGAAGACAAACTACTGAGACCAATGTATCTACAAGGATTGGTGGTAGCTACTAGGAGCTGAAGTAGATGAGGAAGGACTTTCCTCTAGAGCCATGACCTGAATTCAGACTTGCAGACTCTTAAACTGTGAAAAAATAAAGTTCTGTTCCTTAAAGACATCCACTTGTGGCATTTTTGTCATGGCAGCACTAAGTAACTAAAAAAAGATCTAAGATAAATTGAAAATATTTTGATGAACAAGAAGATAGGGAAGAATATGATTAAAATGGGACTGAGTGCCTCCTAATAGAAGTGTACAACACCTATAAAGCATTCTTGGAGAGAGAGAGAGAACTACCTCAATCTATTAAGCATTTTGCTCTAATTATCAAATTTTAAGCAATAGAGCTCTGGTAGCATAGTGCCTAAGGCACTGGACTGCTAACCAGAAGGCTGGCGGTTCAAACCCACCAGCCACTCCTCAGAAGGAAGGTTGGGCAATCTACTTCTGTAGTGATACTGCCTCAGAAACCCAAGGAGGGGTCACTATGAGTTGGGGCTGACTCGACGGCACATAACAACAACAAGCAATAGAGAAAAGAGAAGAATATGTTAAACTACACCATAAGGATACAATCAGCAAAATCTAGACCATGGGAAACTCACTCGTGCAAACAACCAGGTTTGTTCAATAAATAAATTGCAGGAGGTAGGGGAAAGGAGAGTAGAACCTAAGATAAAGAAACTTAAAAGACCAACTATAATGTGTAGATTTTATTTGTTGTTGTTGTTGTTAGGTGCCTTGGAGTTGACTCCAACTCACAGCACCCCTATGTACAACAGAACAAAAACACTGCCCCTGTGCCAGCCTCACAATCCTTGCTATATCTGAGCCCATCCTTGCAGCTACTGTGTCAAACCATCTCGTTGAAGGCCTTCTTTTTTTTTTTTTCGTTGACTCTCCACTTTACCAAGCATGATAAGCTTTTCCAGGGAATGGTCTCTTCTGACAACATGACAACATCCACCACTCGTCTGTCAGTTTGTCATACTGTGGTAGCTTGTGTTTTGCTGTAAGGCTGGAGGCTATGCCACTGGTCACCTATGGTGGACAGGTTTCAGGGGAACTTCCAGACTAAGACAGACTCGGAAGAAGGAAGGGGCCATCCACTTCTCAAAGAACTGGCCAGTGAGAACTATGAAGAGCAGTGAAACACTGTCTGATATATTTGGATCTTACTTGGATACTGTTAAAAATTTTTAAAACAAAAATTTCATTTGATAATATTAAAGAATTACTGCTAATTTTTTGGGTGTTTAATAGCACTATGGTTATTGGTTTTGGTCCTTTTTCAAGACATAAATATGAAATAATTATTACATGAAGATTATTATATTATTCACTTCTGTGTACTTTAAAAAAAACAACTAAGAGCTAACTTATACAAATGTGACACAGTAAGAGAATGTTAATAATTTGCAGCCCTTAAGATCAAAAACTGAAGGTCTCTAGGCTAGTTTTCTAAAGATGTAAAAAAGGTTGGTCATAAAACCACGTGCTCTTTTGGCATTCCCAAGAATAGCCATCATAGCTACTACTTACTTACTATGTGGTTGCTTTTAAGAACCCCCTTATTATGTTTCGTAACAAACAACAGTTCAATATAGTAGATTTAAAAGATTATACATCTATATATAACTACATATATATCATAGTTACTCTAACATTCATAACAAAAATAGCTTTAGAATGATAAACATTCTTACCTATTGAGAAAAGAGAGTATAATTGCCCCCCATAAGCAAGAAGGATACTAGATGTAATGTAGGCCGGAAGAGCTCCACCATGAAATCTAACTACCTAAAAAACAGATAATGAGCAATTTTTAAATATTCCTATTAATGAAATAAATGTTCTCTGACACAAAGTAAAAATGTCTTTCTTCACTTTATATCTTTTCTGATATGACCACAAAGATATTTCTAGAAATTATATTAAAACTCAAAACAAATATTAAGAATATACAGCATATTAAAAATATGTTATCTGAATTTTTTATCAGACATAATAAAGAGTATATATAATTGACTTACATATGCTACAAAACGGTTTTTAAAGCACCTTTTACTGTGCAGTCAGTAGGTTCCAGGTATAATGCTAAACGTCTCATGTATAATCTCATGCTTTCCTCCCAAAAACCCTTTGATGTAGGTTCTATTCTTATCCCTATTTTAATTCAAGCACAAGAGCGCAAATAACTTGCACAATTAGAAATAAAATAGGCAAGTTACTCACCTTTTCCTCTCTATGTCCTCATCAGTAAAATGGGAACAGTAATAGTACTTACAAACAGGTGGTTGTGAAGATTAAGTGTGTTCATTGGTATAAAGCATTTAGAATAGTAACTTAAACATGGTAAACTACCAGAAAACATTAGCTGCTATTATTAACCTCTTTTGTTCTTAACTGTCTTCAGAAATCTCTGTGGAACTGATTTAAATTCAAAGTCGAAGTTCTTAACCATTATGTTATAGTGCTGCAAGTCATCCACTTATCTGCCATAGCAGTATGGCAGCATTAAGAAACCAAGACAAGATCTAACATACTAAAAATATTTCAAGGAACAAGTAAGACAGGAAAGAGTCTGATTAATACAGGATGGAGTGGCCCCCCCAAGAGAAGAAGTATATAACATCTACAAAGTATTCTTGGAGAGACGGAGGGAGAAAGAAGAAGCTGGTCCAGTATCTGTATAAAACATACATATAGCAAAATCAAAATGCTATTTCTTTAAGGTTAAGTATTAAAAAGAGATTTAGTTTTAAACACATTGTCCATCTCATAGAAATATTTTAGAACGAGCTTTAACTCCCCTGGCAATCTGGTAAAATATATGAAAATACATGTTTAGAAAAAATGTTAGGTAAATTTCAGAGAAGTTCAGGCTCCCTGAAGCTCTCCATGGATTCCCAGGTTAAAGAGACTAGAAAAACTAAAAAAGGTTTCTATTCCATACTCATGATTTACAGTTAATAATTTTGAGTGGGGGAAGAAAGAGTTGAGAAGAAGGGAAACGGTCATTTTTCTGTCTGGTTACTAATACTTATTGTCTTCCAATGACTTCCTAGGATATATATGCAGCATAACTTACTTATCAGGAATATGGAAGGAAAGCTAAGCAGCATAGCAAGCTCAGTGTCAGACCACCAGGTGTAGACTCCAGCTTTGCCTCTCACTCGGTCTGTGTCCTTGGGCAAGTTACTTTACCTTCCTTTTTATGTCCTCATCAGTAGAATGGAGATAATAACACTTACCTCACAGGGGACTGTGAGGATTAAATGTGCTCATTTGTGTAAAGCATTTGGACTACTAACTGCCATATGGTAAATGATTAGAAAATGTTAGCTGAAATTATTAACCTTCAACATTCTTCACTGCCTTTAGAAACCTGTAAGGGTTCCCACACAGTGTATTCTGAACATAAAGTCTTTTGAATGACTATCATTGTTAGAAAATTAAGTGTTTCTGGAACTTAGAGAAATGGCTAGTAAAAGACGAGACTAAATCAACAATCACAAAGTGGCCTCCTTGGGTCATACTCAAACAGCAGAGAGGCTTCACTTGGCTTAGTATCCGGTTTTTGACATTCAAAACTTAAAAGATTTCACCTAAAAATCCAGATTTCCAGCTTCTCTTAAAATGTAGAGATCTGGCAACAGTGGACTTCATTACGACAGAGTAACAATTTACTAGACTTTATGGGATTTTCTTGAGAAAGTAACTTTCACTTTACTTTTTGTTCTCTTTCATAAGAGGAGACTGAAGAATATGTAAATGTATTTTCCTCTATCTGAAAAAAATATTAATTTCCAGAAAATTATCTAGTCAAAGACTCAAGATTTTTCCAAGTGGTTTATCTTTACTCCTCTTCCTGAAGTGCTTTCAAACTTAATCTAAAGCATTCAAAATATGTATAATTTCTAAAAAGTATAAAACATATTATGTAACTTCAATTCATTCTCCTACTATCCTTGAGTTAAAATTTCAAACAAGTTTGAAGGAAAAGTATCTTATAATTTCTAATACCTTGAGGTAACTCAATTACCATAAATATTAAATTACCACAATTTTTTATTTTATATTGAAAAAATAACCCATTACTGATTCTTTAAGGTCCATATATTCCTATTCTTTAGAAAGGTTTCCATGTCTAAATAAGAATATTAGTCAATCCTCTTTTGTTGTACACGTAACTATGCTTGACTACAGAGTATCAAACTAACTTGACTTTTTAATCTTTGATCTGAATTATGAATCCCAAAATAATAGTATGTTATATTCTTCCCAATACACTCCAGTCATATTACATAATAGTATGAATTCTTTCTCTATGTTCCAAGAAATAATTTATCTTTATATTCGGCCCCTTAACATGTTAGAGTATTTATTACAACTATCCATGATAATACTTTCCAACTTTTATTTTCATTTAATCTTCTCTTTCTAATTTGGCATAAAAGTTTTACCCATTAACTTAGAAATTTCTAGTGTTGCAAATTTTATAATAATAATTTTCACCAGGTTGTTGTGAGGATCAAATGAGATAATGCATATAAAAAAATTTATTTAATTTTGATTTGTAAGTTTTTCATGGTATTACACCAGAGTAATAAATGACTTAAATTTTTTCTTACTATGTCTAAATTATAAAGCATAACATCTCAAAAATAAAAACAGTAAAAGTAATAAAAACTACAATAAAAATTTTAGTGAAATTCCAAATTATGTAATTTCCTTAATTAATCACTATTATCTTCTTTATGTCCAGGTTTTACAATTCTGTACATTTTAATGATGATGAATAACAATGTCCATAGTTCTATTGCTTTATGAAGTATTTTGAAACACTACTTATGTATGAATTATAGAAAAATACTCCAAATGAATTTAAATTATTTCAACATGTTTACATTTAATATAACTTTTTTTGTTTTATAAACTCAGCATGTATACATTTTTTGAAAATGTTTATTTATATGACAGAGACCACACATTTACTGGACAATGAATTATGATGTTGTATGAGGAACATGACATTTTAATTTGATATTCATTTTGACAAAAAAAGTATTAATTTGTTTGAGAATTGGTTATCAGCTCTTTCTAGAAAGCCCTTCTAAGAAGTATCATGGAAAACAACACCTTAAAGCAGGGGTTGCTAACTATAGCTTACGAGCCAAAATAGTTTTGGATTTTATTTTATTAAAATGTGGGAAGAAAGAAGAAAAATGAAGCAATAGCAGTGGCAACAGAGACCATACATAATGTGTAAAGCCTAAAACATTTATTATCTGGCCCTTCACAGAAAAAGTTTGGCACCCCCTGCTTTACAGCATCTAAGTAATTAACCAGGAATCTCTCTTACCTGTCCAAGTATTTGTGGAAAGGAAGTCTTAACTGTCACCTAGTTTAAAACAATTACAAAAAATAAAAAAAAAGGTTATTTCCCCTAAATTCCTCTAGTACACATTTTGTTAAAGTGAGCACTTCTACCTGTCTCTAAGTCTAAAAATTAATTTCTCATAATGATATACCTAAAGACACTCAAGATCTTAAAGAATCTTCTGGATTATCAACATTTACATATATCGAGTATAGTTTTGGTGTTAAGTATTATTTTCCTGTATTGTAATCTTTGGCCATTGGATGAATGCTATGGTATATATGATGACCCTTTACTAACTAGACTACTTAATTAACTAGAGTATCTCATTCCCCAGATCATGTCAACAAAAGGAATTTATTAAATAAATGAGTCCATATCTTTGCTCAAAAAAAAAAATTAAGTACAAATTAATCATTTACTATATAATCATCACTACTTTAAAAATCTAAAGCCTACAATTGTATGCCTCAAAATATAATTAAGCCAGCTCTGAGTAAATGTCCTAAAAATACATTTCACATGGCATAAGACCATGAACAAATAGAGCACATCTACAAACACTAAAGCCAAAATAATATTTTAAAAAGAAAATTTATTATTGATTATCTCTACCAAAAAACACTCCTTCTTTGACATTGGGAAGACTGGGAAAAGGAGATACATCTTTCATAGGGAGGTTATAAAATAACCGTATTTTATCAAAATATGGGCTCATAAACACATGCACATTTTGAGACCACTGCAGTATTTAGAGTCAAAATAATGTAATTTTTACTATCTCTGTAAAATATAAAAATAAGGCACAAGTATGAAGCCATTACATCCCTAAAAAACCCTTCACTGTTAAAAGATAGTAAAAACCAAGTTAATTCTGACTCACAGCAACCATACAGGACAGACCAGACCTGCCCCATAGGGTTTCCAAGGCTGTAAATCTTTATGGAGGCAGATTGCCACAACTTTCTCCCACTGAATAGATCTGGGGTTCCAACTACTAATCTTTTGGTTAGCAGCTGAATGCATTAACCACTGTGTCACCAGAGCTCCTGAAGATACCAAAACTCAAAAACTCACTGCCATCAAGTTGATTCCGACTCATAGTGAACCTCCTTGGGTTTCTGAGGTGTCCTTCTGGTTAGCAGCCAAATGCCTTAGACACTACACCACCAGAGCACCCATAAATTCCATGAAATCTAAATTAATTCATAATACAGCTCCAACTGAAACTTGCTCAGAGGGACAGATTCTATTCACCTGCTAATACCAATCCTACACCACTCAAAGAAAGTTAGTTCTTACAAAGAATCCAAATTATTTAAGCATGGTTTAAAGCAATTGAGCAGAAATAAGATTTTTCATATAAACCAGAGACCTATGATATCACCACCAATTAAATATGTATTTTAATTCCTTAAATCTGAAGTTGTTGGAATGTTATGATATAGGGAGGGTCTCTTTCAGTTCATGAATCAATATATAAGTAAAATGTTACTACTGAGTCTGTTTTCCTTCTCTAGAATCAAGAAATCAACTTTGTAAAACAAACACAATATGCAGTAAATCATACATATTAATGACTAAGAGAGCTTAAAATAATTAATGAGAAGGAAAGAAGATCCTTTAGCTAACCGAATAGACCTTGTAAACCAATAAACATCATGTTGATTACTGCAGTAAAGCCATGCCAGCTGATTTCATGTTCATTTTACAGAGGACTCTGGACTTTGGGCTATCAAATTCAGAAGGTTAATCTGCAGCCTCAATTTTCACTTCATTTTTTATTACATATTAAGATGCATACTTGCAAATGGTCCAGCTAAGGATATACTGAGGTAGTGCTAATTGGCAAAATGGAGAAAGTTTACTATATTTAAATGTCTTATTTTTTATAAGGTCCCTGTGTGGTATAAACAATTTGAGCCCATCCTCTACCATAAAGGTTGGTGGTTTGAACCCACCCAGCAGCAGCACCATGAAAGAAAAGCCTGGTGATCTGCTTCTATAAAGATTACAGCTAAGAAAACCCTATGAAGTAGTTTTATTCCATAACACATTGGGTTGCCATGAGTCAGAATCGACTCAATGGCAATGTTTTTTTTTTTTTTTTTTTTTCTGGTTTGTGTTTTATATTTATTGGCTTCCATACTATTATATATCTGAGACGATTATTTAAAAAGCATCTCCAGCTTATAACTCACCTCATAATGACAGTCTGATGATGTGTACATTTTTAATAAGGCTACGTGGCTATCATTTTCTGGTTGAGCAATATGGAGTTTCAGAGAAATTTCTGTGGAAGATGGAACCCTGAAATGATAAGTTAAATAGCAATTCTTAAATATAAAATTCTGATAAATGAGCATGGTTCAATCATCCTTAACACAATAAAAGTGAAATGATACAGAAGAAGCTAGATGCCAGACATCTGAATACATACAACGATAAATGGACAGATATTTGAATGCCCCTAGGACACAGGAATAGGATAGGGTAGGAGGGGTTTGTGTTTCAAGCAAGTAAGGTTTAAGTTATGTATAATTTTAAAAAGAATATTATATATTACCTTAAATTATGGGCACAATGCTACTACATAAAGGATACATGCATACTTTAATAGTGATTTAAATAAATTATTCAAAAACACCAACATTTAAATTCTTTCATACACTTACTGTGCAATGGTTAGTGAATCTTCATAAGACCAGGGAATATGCAGTTTATAGATACTAGTTATTTCTTCTGTTAAAACAAAAAAGCAAACACATTAGTAATCATTATTTTTTATCAAATGTTGCAAAAGCTGCTATAATACCTAGTTATTTACACAATTAGCCTTTAAAAAAAAAAGATCCATAAGAATTATACCTCATTCTAAAAAATTATGAAGAATTCCTAGATAATAATAATTAGACTTAAAAAAAAATTAGAGCATTTGAGAAGTATTAAGCACTAAAAACCAATATTCAACAGCTAAATCTAATTACTATAAAAAGAAGAGATATAGTATTTTTTAAATGTGGATATTCAAACTGAACAGATAAAGATGTTTACTGTTAAGAAAGGTCTATGTCAAATTCTTGGGAATAGATACTTTCTAGTATCAGATATTTAATTTTACTTTATAAAAAATACATGGAAGAGTTAAATATTATAGAAAATCCAAGTGAAGACCTTATGATTATTCAAATGACAACACTCTTTCTTATACATTTTATAGGAAATATATTTACCTTTGACTCCTGAGCACTTGCTCACCACGTTGATTTTAAAAGCTTGATATATCTAATATTTGACCACCAAACAAAACAAAAACAAATATTTACTTGTACGCTTATTTAACTAAATAGTAAAGTAAAACCCAACCCTTCTTGTTAGAGTCAGGATAATTACCTGCCCAAAGTTCAGAAGCTCTATATTGTAAAATAGGCCATTTGTATTTAATACCACTTTTCTTGAAGACAACCCTGTTGAATTGAAAGTACTATATTACTTAGAATACAGAAGAATTTTTTTTAATGTACTAGTTGGTTAAACAATGTAAAAATGATGATAAAATATTTAATACTAAGAAATTAGTATACAAATATTAGCCTCTGGTATGAAGGAGTGAGGTACAATAAATTTTGGATAAAATACATAATTTATAATGACTTTTCAAAAGTCATTCCTTCCTCAGAAGGAAGATGGGGCAATCTACTTCTGTAGTGATACTGCTTCGGAAACCCAAGGAGGGGTAGCTATGAGTTGGTCCGACTCGACGGCACATAACAACAAGGAAACATGACAACTAAATATTATGTGAGAACCTGGAAAAAAAGGACACTAGTGGAAAACTGGTGAAAACTTTAGTTAGTACCATTGTACTAATGCTATTTTCTTAGTTTTGAAAATTGTACTATGTTTATGTAGGATGCAAACACTATAGGAACTCTACTCATTTTATAACTTTTCAGTAAATCTAAAATTACTAATTTAAAAAAAGAGATATCTTGAAACCTTCATAGGGAAGATAGCAATTTGTACCTTATAACAGACTTTTTATAGAAAGGATCAATATTTAGTATAAATTAACAGGAAAACACACACACTTACTTGATTACCCAGAAATGTATGTGATTATGAAGAAATTTTACAGTTATCCTCTCAGAAGATGGCTGCTGACTCAGTACCAAATTAGAATTAAACCACTCAACTACATTACATGGGTACTCTAAGAATTACACATTGATCTTAGAAGACACTGCTTTATTGAAGCTAACTGGAAAACTAAATCAGCATTCTGCTAGAAATAAAAGCAATTCTTAATACTTCCACAAAGTACTTACCAAAGGAAAAAAGATGGGTTACAGGAAGCTGTATGGATCTTGTCTCTTTTTTAAAGAATTCACAGTCTACAACAAACTGAAATATAAAACACTGTTTCATTAGAAAAAAACAGAATTAAATTTATAGTAAAATATCTTCACTGAAAGTTTGAGCGAAAAATAAAGCTCTATAAACGTCAGCTTTAGAATAAGCATCATCTAGCACAATTGTGCTATACTTAGATTGTGGCTAAGCAAGAATTCTTCAAGAAGAGATACTATGATGAAAAAACTTGGTAAGTAAATCTTATTTAACTTACTAGATAAATTATTAGAGGATTATTTGTATTAAAAACAGATCCATAGAAAAGTTTTCTTAGTTAGTTTTAAGTGTTTGTAGAACAGGCACATTGGAGGACAGATCAAAGCATTAAGGGCTAAGGCTAATTTATGATTAATTAGGGAATTAAATAGTGGCTAAGGCACTTGACTGCTAACCAGAGGGCTGGTGGTTCAAACCCACCAGCCACTCCTCGGAAGAAAGATTGGGCAATCTACTTCCATAGTGATACTGCCTCAGAAACCCAAGGAGGGGTCACTATGAGTTAGATCCCACTCCACAGAACTTTTTTTTTTAAATATTTTCATAGTCAAAAGAAAAATGTGATTTTGCTTTGCATCTTTTTTTAAAGATCCCACATTCATTAAGTATCTACAATCTAATTAGATTACAAAAGGCTTTTGGAGACATATTGCAATTCATCTACAGATGGTTAATGTTATTTGTATAGATTATTTCAGGTTAAACAGTGATTATTACAAATTGAAAAAAGGTTTCCTACTTATGAAGAAAAAAATGCTATCTCAAAAAAGCAAAGCTAATGTGACATCTGTATCATTACAACTTTTTGTAATATTTCTTTTCTAATTATATTTCTATAACTGCATAAAAAAAAACTTTGTTCTCAGCTGTCTGCAGTAAGAACTGTTTATGGTAAACGTATATACAGGTATATCTCACAGATATTGTGGGTTCAATTCCACACCACTGCAATAAAACAAGGTACACAAATTTTTCAGTTTCCCAGTGCATATAAAAGTTATATTTACACTATACTACAGTCTAGTTAGTGTGTAATAGCATATGAAAAAGTTTGAAATTTTGTGAGAATTACCAAAATGTAACACAGAGATAGGAAGTGAGCACAAGGGAAAAAATGGTGTTGAAAGACTTGCTCAATGCAGGGTTGCCACAACTTTCAATTTTTAAAAAACACAAAAATCTGCAAGGCGTAATAAAGCACAATAAAATGAGGTATGCTTTTAATTTTATTAATCTCCATAATGCGACCAAATAATTTTGATCTAAAAGAACAAAAGAAGTGGTTAATCTGATGCTTAACTCTGGTTAGCAAGTACTTTGCTGCCCAGAGAAAGCAGAAAGCCAGTGGGCTCCATCCTATATTTTTCTTATAACTACTTGTTAGATGTTTTGAAGCAGTGTTGTTTGCTTGCCTATTGGGTACATTTTTTTATTGTTTTTGAAAGTGAAAAGCAGACCAATAATTGTTATTAGAGACTGTAGTACACACATGGGAGAAAAAAAGAAAAACTTGTTAAAGGGCTTTCTTTCTATTTCTCCTTCTTTACATACAAGGAAACGAACACAATCAGATATTTAGAGAAGTCATTTATAAGCAAGAGTATTCATTATAATTTTACAAAGTACTGTGGGTGACCCACGTATTTTTAAAATCAGTTTTAAATAATTTTGTAAAGGTAGTTAATACAATTTTTATCACTGCTTTACAATTTGGGCTATGCTTTTAGTTTTGCACAATGGAATAAACTCTAACTCAAGAAAGAATTCAAGGCTCTTTCTCTAAAACCTCTGAGGTAAGTAAATTCCTAATGGGTGTAATGATTTTGTTTTTTTTTTAATAAAAAATGCAGATAATTCCATGTTTTGCATTTCTAGAAATATATTAGGATATCAGTTGACTCAGTTTTTATAATTGCCCATTTGAATATATATACCCTCTCTTGATGATGGGCTATAACACAGACAGGAGGAATAGGGCAGGCCTAAGTCATCACTCTAGAGAGAAAGAGCTGCATTTTAGGGAGAGGAGAGTCAGTAGTGCTACTTTCCAACTTTCCAAAGAGCATTAAGACATATTACATATTTATTAGGCTGCCAAGAGTACCTATTTGCAGAAAGGGTCATTAATTACAAGAGCAACTTTCCATGTTTTGGAAAGATGTTAGATTCATTCAAAATCAACTTACCTGACAGAAAACTCTTAAAGAGAGCTTTTAGTATTGAAGATGGTGAATTACCTCTTACTTGAGCTAAGCAAAACAGAACAATGAATCTAATCTAAGGCACTGGTGAGGCTCATTCTTTGAGATGATTTTCAAATGCATCCCCTTTGTCCTTTCCCCATTTCTTTTTAATTTTCCTAATAATTTTCACTACCAAGGTCAGTCAATTTTCTAATTCAAGGAACATTTTTTGAGCATTTATGTGGTAGTCACTGAAATCTGAGAATGCAAAATAGAATAAAACAAATCTAGTCTTTACTCTCCGATAGTTTATAATATGGTGATGACAATAAAGACATACACAAACAAATGATAATTCAATGTAGTAACTTTGTCAAAGAAGTTCTAAACTAAGTATCATGGGAGGAGTTTGGAAAAGCAAAAGTGGGGACAGAGAGCGGATCTCAAAGGTAGAAAGAGGAAAGGGGAGGATCAGAGGTCCTTTAACTTCCATCTGCTTCCTTCTCCCCTACTTCTCTCAAAATCACCATCTTTTTATTTCTACTCCCACTTCCCTAGCGCGAACCTCGTAAGGTGCCTAGTCTTCCCGCTTCTGATCCATCCTACACCACAGATTAATCTTCCCTAATAAATAGCTCTGATACCATTACTACTGTGTTGAAAAACCATACATCTATCTACTAACTCTTGAATTTTGCAAAATCCTCAATGTTCCGATTACAGCCCTCACATAAGGCTATAAATTACTTTTCTAGATTTTTCTTCCAGTATGATTCCACCCATGGTGTCCATCCTTTCAAAATTACTGTTCATTTATGTACTGTTTTCCAAATATATCCTTTGCCTTCCCACCTCTACCCTTTGCTTTCACTGTGCCTCTGTCTAAACAGTGTTTTTAGAACAGTGCCATTAGAACTTTCTGCAATGAAGTTATTGAACACTTAGAATGTCACTAGTGTAACTGAGGAACTGAACTTCAAATTTTCATTAATTTAAATAGCCATATGTGCCTGTTGAACAGCACAGGTCCAGAATGTTCATTCTACCTATCAAAATCCTAACTATCTTTCAAGGTCATTTCAAAAATCACCTCATTATAAAGCCTTCTGTGATTCAATCAGAGATCTTCCCCCTTTTACTCTTTCATGCCCTTGCTATATTCTGACTTGTGTTACACATTTTTGAGTACCTCTTTTAGTCTTACTCTCTTCCCCAGCAAATATATTTTTCTCCCTTGGTCCAACAGTATGTAGCTTTCTGAGAACAGGATCTATGTTTTCCTCATTTGTATACCTTCTATAATTGGTGGCACATAATCTCATCTCCTTGGAAGGAAGATTGGGCAATCTACTTCTGTAGAGATACCTCCTCGGAAACCCAAGGAAGGGTTGCTATGAGTCCTTGACTTGACGACTTGATGGCAGTGAGTTCGGTTTGGCTTTGGTTTTAATCTTAAATATAAATTAATTGCTCTTCAAAGACTGATAAAGTGGAACTAATTCTTACTTGGAAAAAGGGGACTTGATTTTATTCTGCTTAGTTCATGTTAGAGTAGATGATCCTAATGATTTATCAGTTTGATGTGACCCATCACACTGGCTATTGTTTTACATAAGCCTTATATAAAAGAAGAATTCATCAAAAAATAACTTCAAAATTTAGCATGTATATCCCCAAAACATTCTGGTAACATTAATCCATTTGTTACCTTACTTCCATGAATAGATGGTACATAAACAACTAGATGAGACAAAGATGGGTAGTCTTGAAGTCTTAGCGTCAGAGACTAAAAAAGATAAAGACAAAAGTTTATTTTATTTCTTAGGGTATATTGGGTTCAATGGATGTTAAAAGAAAGGTAAATTACAAATAGTTGTTTCTTACTTGATTAGTTATGAAAAAACAGATTTTAAACTGCATTAACTTTATAAACGGCTCATGTTTACATTTCTAGGTTAATAATACTGCTGAAAGTCAAAGTCCGACTGCCAAGTGTATTCCTTAAGCTGTGTCCCTTCATATAAAATGAATGAAACTTAACACTGAATTTAACCATTTCAAATGATTACCACCAGATTTCATGTATTTCTTTTTGTAATTTGTCTATTTACTATATACAGTGTTAGAGGATTATTTCTATATTTTGATAATATATAAAAAAGAACACTCAATGGCTGATGAGCAAATGGATCCTAAATATGCTGGAAGAGTCACAATTTAACCTCAAACAATCCTCATTCAGCCCAAGTAGTAATGAATTGCTGCTGGCTAATGATGTATAAAAACATTACACCCTGGAATCTATGACACAAAGACACAATAAGGTTAATTACTTCACTAAATGAACAACTATTCTCTTCTCAAAATTAAGACCAGTAACTACAGTGCATATCTAAAACCAGTAACTATAGTCCGTATCTTGAGGAATGAACAGGTAAGAGAGTGGTCTATTCAATGAAGCCAAGTTACCAAATATAGTTTGGTTTTTTAAAAAATTTTATTGTAATTTGGGTGCTAAATATAGTTTTTAATCTAGTTTTTTTTTTTTTTTTTTTCCTTCCTGGAAGTAGACATGGGGTGGGAATGGTTATATGTTGTACATGTCTAATAATATGGGTACACTAACACATTTTGTAGACATTTCACTTTTTCCACTCTTCTTCAGCTCTACCAATGTGAGCAGGTAGGACAGAGGTGCTGACATCACAGGACTATCATTAAGTGGCCTCTTTACACCGGCACTAGATTAACCTGAGCCAGCTTGTTAGGGATAAATTCCTGGGCTTCATCTCAAATTTACTATCAAAGTCTCTGCTGCACAGTTATAAGTTCCAATGCCAATTAAAAAGCCCTGAGAGGGCCAGGCATACCACAGCTAGTGGCAAGTGAGACTAACCATATAGACAGATGAAAGATAAATTAGGAAGAATTAGGATATTCTGTTTAGCTATCTACTAGCTTCTGAATATTTATTCTTAGGAATGAAAGTGCTCAATTTTAATTTGTTTTGTTTTGTTTTGTTAGAGGTTTCCATCTACTTATTAACAGTTCAGTCAGCACAGATGTCTTAAAGTAATGATTCTCATCTGATACTACTTTATTGAGATATAATTATTAACAGGGGAAGAAAACACATTTTTTTTCACTTTAATCTTTTCTATCCCTTCCATTTCAGACCCAAATAATTTTGTGAGCTTTTTATAAATGGTTTTCATAAAAGCCTTTTACAAATTCATATAACTTTGATTTTCATTACACTGGAAAACTTCACATTTAATAGTTACAATTCTCTTCATCTGAGAACACTTAAAATTGCAGAATAGTCTAATCCTTGTTTGCTAACTTCTCCCAACATTTACTATAAAAAGTAAGCAGCTGGAATAGCTTACTTTCCTGATGTTCAGCCAGCTGCTTCTTACACTCAGAGCAAATAACAGAGGGGCCTGGAGCTAGATGAATACATTGTATAATCTTTGGGGTTTCTTTTTTAATAAAGATTTTATGACTTGAAGACTACATTTTTAAAAATAGGGGCAAAAGACAGTAACAGATTTTTTTTTTTTTTTTTAAACAGTGGTAAATACAGTTGCTCTGAGTTGGAATTGACTTAACAACAACAATTTTGGTTTTTCTTTTTTTGAATCTATGTAACAAAACAAGGAGCCCTTGGTGGTGCAGTGGTTAAAGTCCTTGGCTACCAACCAAAAGGCTGGTGGTTCAAACCCAGTCACTGTGGGAAAAAGAAGTAGCAGTCTGTTTCTGTGAGTTACAGCTTTGGAAAACGTATGGGGCACTTCTCCTCCATCCTATAGGGTTGCTATGAGTTGGAATCAACTTAATCGCTGTTAGTTGGGTTAGTTACAAAACATCCAATGTGCTTCCAGGGTTCCTATAAGCTGGGTAATATAACTAAATTGGAAATTCAAGGAAATAATTAATAGATCTTATGAACAACTGATCAGTAAGAATACCCTAAATGTTCATATGAGTCAAATCACATCCCTACTATATTTGTTTCATAAGTACAAAGTCCCATGAATAAATATGCACAAAGTAAGACTGATGAAAGTAACAGAAAGAAAAATTGCAACCATTTCAAAGTCTGATGTAAATTACTTGCAATTATTCATTCTGTCATCATTCCTCTTAGTATGTTTAATTAAGACTTGACTACATATACAAATAAGTATCTATGATCGCAAATAACCAACTGAATTAGAGTAGCAGGTTGAACCAATCAGATTATTTCACTGTCAAGACCATGAGTCTAGTACTCATTACGAAGATACACTTTATTTTTAAAGTACAGATTTACTTGAAGACTGAAAACTATTAATCCCAGCATATGATGATAGTTGTAATAAGTACAATTTGGAAATTAAAAGAGATTGTTTTAAAATAAAATTTTAGAATTATTTTGGATTTTCAACAGATTTTGATAGTATGCAAATTAACATTTCATAAAAAGACTTGCTGACCTGCCAGAGTTGCTCAAAGAAATCATTAACTATTATTAAGTAAATGTTTGATATGAACTACAATTCTGCAATATTAGATAAGGTAGATAAAGTTACTCAAGTGCTTGACTACAAACTGATGTTGAAGCTGACCTGGAAAATTACAGGGTGTCTCTGTGAGATGCCTACTTCCCTATTGGAGGTTCTCTCTCCCAAAATGAATTCTCAGTATACCACCCAGCTTATATTTTAAAACAGACCTTGCCAAACATATCCTCAAATTTAATTAAAAAATCCATCTACCTCTTTTGATATGATGCTTTAACAACCACAGAGTTAATTTTATTTAAAATATTATTACAACTTTTATCCCTGAAAGTAAGAAATAATAATAATTCCAGTTTGTTTTTTTTTCATCAAATGTATTTCTAGAGAAAACAGTTCTAAAAGGCAGGTTAGCAAATCTTGGATTTATTAAATACCTGGATGAATTAATAAAAGAGCATATTCTGAAATGCTTATATGTTCAAGAGTCTCTTTACTGGGTATTAAAATTCTAAAGCCATCATTTACCTTAATTGTCGGCAGCAGTTCAGCTTTCCATGACAAATCAACCCCTTGCCGGCTTTGAAGTAAAATATGAAAAGATAAGTAAAGAACAAATATATTAACATACTACAAATTAGAAATAAGCTTCAGAGGAAAGAGAAATCATCTATAGATCAGTTATAATGAGTTGACATCTAATCCAATATATGCTATTCACACAGTTCCACTGCATATAACTGGTTATGGCAACAAAAATTTGTTTTACCTACAATTAACTAGTTTCAAATGTTTGGTAAATTATGGCTATGTTAATTTATTTTTCATTTTAAAATCAAAACTATAATTTAGCATATCCAAAAAGGAACATAAAAATGTATGAAGCTATGCTAAAAGTGTGATTTTTTGAGTATTCAGTTATATTGAGAATATTGAATAAGGATGGGCCTAAGGTTCAAAATACTTACCACATGGAAGTACTGTTTACACATCCAAAAATCCAACTGTTTGTATCCTGTTGATTAACAACAAAATAACACACACTAAATAGCAAATATTTTCAACATTCCACTGTTATATGATAGGGGCAGTAGGAGCAATGGAAATATGAAATAGCAGTTTGTTATTTAGAAACATCCAAGATGACCTCAAAAGTCAAATAGGTCAAAAGTAAACAAAGAAGCCTAATATCAACACAGATAGAAAAACAAGTAAACTAGAGCACAGTTCCAAGAGCTCAGCATTGAAGCCAGTTATTACTTCATCACTGCAGAGTAGAATGCTTCAAAGATGTTTATGGTATTTT